CTCATGCAGTCATAGGTAGGGCTTTTTCAGAAGTGGCTGGATCTAGAGTTTGTGATGCTGGGATGAAGGGTGTGTGATTACTGATTAACTTGGGTAGAATTGAGGCTGCTCCACCCTGGGTGTGCCCTAAGGGCAGAGAGCTAGATAGGATATAAAGGGCTCAAAGAGGGTCCTTGCTTGTTGCTTGTTGCTGCAGCTGCTGCTGCTTATCTTCTCTTCGATGCCCTCTACCAGGCCACCCTGCCCTGGAGCAGCCGTCTCTGTACTGAAACCTCTACAAACCATGAGCTAAATAAACCTTTCCTCCTTTAACTTTGGGTGTCTGGTAATTTGTCTCAATGATGAGAAAAGTAACTAAGACAGTGCTCTTTAAGACAATCCCCACGATTAAACGCTAATGAAATGATCAGTTAGGAACTGGAAATAGCAGCACTCTCCACCCCTTTCAGCTATATTTCCCAGCGCTCTGTCTTCAGCACTGGCCCAAGGCCGGCTAGCTCTGAGGCCCCCGTGCATGGAGACCTGGCTGAGGCTGCTTGATTGTGTTCAGTCATCTTCATGGTGCATGAGGATCTTGGAAATCAAAACTCATCGGAACATTTGGTCTTTTCCTCAGGACTAAAGCAAAGAAGCTGGTGGCTGGTTGGTCCTCCGAGGCTGAATTCCACTTCACATTGCAAAGCCAGTTGCACGTTTCTGGATCTGTCAATGTTTTATGTTTAGGTGCTTAATGTTGGGTGCCTGTGCATGTATAATTGTTACAGCTGACAAGGAGTTGGCCCTTTTTCTTTATATAATGATCTTCTTTTCCTCCTGGGACCATTTTTGACCTCAAGTCTATTTGGCTGATGCAAGTATAACCACTCCTGCTTTCTTTTCATAATTCAAAGTAAGAATCTGTAGAGTAGGCTTCTGAGCTTTCCTTCCTGTTTGTCCCAGTCCAGAGCCTGGCGTGGGGTGGCCTCCTCGTCCCGGTAGAAACCCCCCTCTGGAGAGGGTTGTTGCTCCATAGGAGGCAGCAGCAGGATCATTGCCAACAGCAGAGCTGTCTCGGTTCCTTTCCCGTCACCTCCCCAGTGTTCAGGTGGAGCCTGGTGTGGGATGTCTCCAAAGTATCCTCACTCTCAGTGAACTGTAACTATGGCAATGTGACTCTTTAAAATTGGCGCTGACATAATTGCATCTAGAGAAAATTGAACATCAACACAAAATACAATTTTGTAATTTTCATACTTAAATAAAGCCAGAGCAACTTATTATTTTAAAGAAAAGTCTGGGCGGGATCTGGCAGTGCCAGCCATCACCTGTTACCCATCATTCCATCCTCTTCCTCCCTCAGCCAAGGGACCCTGGGGTCACATGGAGCATCAGGCTCATGTGAGTAGAGGGCAGTGATTTGCTGAGGATCCATCTCCACAGAGTGAGTGGAGCTTAGGGGGCCCACAAGGGATGTGTGGATCCTGGGTAAGTTGCCCCTTTGCTGTGACCACCATGAGGCCCAGCAGTTGGAGGGAAGGAGTGGCCAGTGGGGACTCAGGTCAAGAAGGAGATGTGCAGAGACCCAGCGCCCTGGTCAGAGGTCCCTGGAGACAGCCATGTTCAGCCTCAAGGGGAACAGGAATTAAGTCCTCGTGTTCTCTTGCTCCCTGTTGGATAGACCCAAATGCTCTCAGTATTTGCTTGGCGGAGAGGGAGACATTGGAGTGCGAGACAGAGTAACATGAGGATTGTCAGCTGGAGGACCTGGGCACTTAGCACAGAAATGTTTATGAACTGTGAAGCCTGAGGCCAGGCCAGGGGACCCAGCTCCTCCAAGGGGAGGCCTGCATGAGACAGACAGGACATGGCCTTGCGGTGTAGCTGCAGAAGGCAGGCACAAGGAGGCCTGAGAAGGAGCTGCATGTGCCAAGCTGGAAGAAGTGAGGAGCTACAGTGGGAGCTGGGGAGAATGTAGCATTCACAAGTGCCCCTGAGAGGAGTCCTCTGGTGCCTATGAGAGACCCAGGCTGGTGGTACGAGATACCAAAAGTGTGCGATGAGCTCCAGCACCCCCTGGATTAGGGCAAGCTGCAGAGGCTGAGAAGGAGGCTTGGTGGAGTGGGTGCACAAATGAAGAGGGAAGAGGGCTCAGGAACCCCGAGGTTGCTGCCCAGGCTGACAGGAGCCACTACCCAGCAGGGAGTGGGAGGGAGGACGGGGGTCTCTGGGGGGAGCAGGTGTGGCCCAGGGAGGGAGTCAGCTTGAAGAGTGTGCAGGGCACCGAGCTGGCCTTGGGGATCCACCTGAGTGCTGTGGACTTGCAGCCCTGTGCTTGAACGATGGCTTTCTATCCCACGGGGCACCTGTCAGCATTCTGGTGGTAGCTGGAGCTTGTCTTTGTCCCGTGGTGGGACAAAGACAGAGGAGGCCTTTCTCAGCAGCGAGTGTGGTCCTGGAGATGTGCCATCTTTCCAGAGAGAGAAGCTGGTCGGATGTTTGTTAGTTGCACCCCTCCACTGGCCAAGGATCCTGCATGTGGCCCTTTTCAGTGGAAACTCGTTATCACCAGACAGTCCTCTCATGAAATCTTGCTTCTGGACAGTTTTGGTTTAGAAGAGATTGGTTGATGAATCCAGCAGCTTGGAGACTTGAACTAGATGAGCTCTTCCAAGTAGCTTAGATTCAACATTGAAGGATATGTTCAGTGTCAAGGCTGCCGCAGACCCGGCAGCTTTGACAAGTTCATTTTTGCGTAGTCTGGAGCCTGGCAGTCTGAGATCAGGTGTTGGCAGGGCTGGTTTCTCCCAGGGCTCTGTGCTTGGCTTGTGGGTGTCGTCTTCCCCATGTCTTTCGTGGTCCTCTGTATGTTTAGGTCCCAGTCTCCTTTCCTAAGGTCCTGGTCACATCGGCATAGTGTCCATGCTAGTGACCTCATTCTGACGAATTTCTTTGTTAAAGATGCTGACCCTAAATGCAGTCACAGCCTGCGGCCCTGGGATTGGACTGTAACATGTGGACCCTGTGGGGGTCTCGGTTCAGCCTGCAGCAGGGGCGGCTATGCTGGGTGCAGCTTCGTTGAGCTGCAGCTGCTGGGCACTGGGGGCCCACCCTGGACTGCAGCCTGCTCTGGCTGCTGTGGTCTCCTAGGCCAGTGCACCTGCTGATGCTGAGCTCCCGTCAGGTGTGGCCTGGTTACAAAGTGCGGCACTGTCGCCCTTTGGTATCCAGGGGACCAGTTCCAGGACTTCCTCCCGCCAGTACCGGAAATGAAACGGCGCCATGTTTGAATGTAACCTGTGCACCTGCACTGCACACGGTCCCTCGTCTCTAGATGGCTTCTTTTTTTTTTTTTTGAAGCAAAACATTTACTGGTGCATTTTACATATACACAACAACACTCATCATAGGGAATTTTTGGTTGAATTTGTGGAGGCAGAGCCTGTGGATACTATAGTTGCTAAAAAAACAGGTGCCTATTGTCCCCAAGAAAGCTTAATCTAGACACTGTTCTTCTTTCCACTGGGTCTCCTGTTCCTGGTGAGTGTGACTGGATCGTTGATGATTCAGCTGTTACTGCTGTCCCAGAGAAACCATTCGGCCATCCAGCTGCTCCTGGAGGGACAGCAGAGGGGAAGCAGTGCCCCAGGGGCCTCTCCTTGGAAGGTGTCCCCGCACCTTCTGCAGGCTGGGCTCCTGATGCTGCAGCTCAGAGATCTCGGTCTGGGATCACTCTTGAAGGAAAGCCTCCTTCTGTCTTGGAATTGCCTAAGGGACCTCTGTGTTGATCAAACACCTTGCGCTTGCACAAGACTTTCGGGAAATGCATCATCCCAGCATGCATTTCAGCCTTGGCTTTGTTGTTTAGCCTTTCTTGTAAAGTAGAAAATAAATGTGTTCCATGGTCAGTGAGCATCATGCAGGGTTAGCAGGAGGGAAAGGCCTCCCAGCACCTCTGTGAGCTGTCGAGAGCCACGGGGAGTCCTTGGGCAGTGGGCGTGCAGAGGGCTGCCCTTTGGGGGTAAGGAAAGCCAGCTCTGTGAGAGGCCCCCTCTTGGTGGCACTGCCGGGGGGTCAGGCTTGGGCCTGCCCTGTTCTGGAAGCCAAGCCTGCGAGGCCTCCTCTTGTGTCCTGCCTCAGCCTCCTAGGGCCGTGTTGTCCCAGCGTGGCCCCAACAGGGGCTGTCCCAGCAGCACTGGTCCTTGGTGGACCAAGAGGACAAGCTGGAGGATTAGTGGCTTAAACTTGGGCTGTCCTTCCGAATCCACAAAGTGGAGAAACCATGTGTAACCTCCTCGCATAGGTTTGTCACATTTCAAATGAAATATATTAATGATTTTAGCAATTTCATGACCTCTTTTATGTTTTGTTTTGGATTGTACTGGGCACTGAACCCAGGGCCTTTGCCTCGCGCTGCGTCCTCATCCTTGCTTTTAGCTTTTTTTTTTTTAGCTTTAGTTTTGAGATGGTGCCTCGCTAATTGCTAAGTTGCCTAGATTTGTGATCGTCCTGCCTCAGCCTCCCAGAATGTTGAGATTGCAGGTGTGCACCATCATGCCTGGTCAACTTTATGACTTTTAATAAGAAAAAAGATGTAAAGCAATGTAGCCAGAGCAATTAGCATTCCTTTTTGTGGAGGCCTATTTTTATTTCTGTGACAGTGAGAGATACCAGTGTGGAGTGAGTTACCTATGCAGCACGTCAGATGGACCAGGGACCCCAGCAAGGCCTCCTAGCTGTGCCCTGCAGTTCTGCAGTTTGTCCTTCACCAGCTGTGGCCAATTCCTGGGGTAAAGCAGGCCTGTGTGCGAAGTAAATAACGTCATGGTCTAGCGCTGCTTCCCGGTGCCCCATTGGCAGGGAGCAGCCATGGCAGAGACCCACGTGCGGGGACCCTGGAGCCCCCTTCCTCGTGTGTTCCCAGGCTTCCGTTGCTCCCGGCCTTCCTTCCCCGGGCGGCGGGGATTGAGACAGGCCAGGCGGCGCCTGTGCCGCCCCGCAGTGTGCGCCGCCTTCTCCGACAGCATGCACGGCGGCGGAGAGAAGGCCGGCCTGCGCAAGGAGAACCTGCTGCTGCGCGGCTGCACCATCAGGAACACGGAGGCGGTGGTCGGCATCGTCATCTATGCAGGTAGGCTCGGCCCTCCCCCATGCGCTCGCGGGGGTGCTCCACGCTCCCTGCCTCCTGATTTGAATCTGATAGGAGATTAGCTTGTACCCACTGTAGGAGATTAGGAAGAGAGAAAAGGAGGGCAAGAATTCTTCCCACAACGCCCTAACTAAACATTTTCTCTTGTCATATTAGCATATTTCTTTCCATTCACTTTTTCTTTTCTTTTTTTTTTCTTTTGGTGCCAGGGATTGAACTTGGGACCTTGCGCTTGCAAGGCAGGCAATGGCACCACTGAACTAAATCCCCGGCAATTTTTCCTTTTTTTTTCTTTTCCTTGGTACCCGGGATCAAACTCAGGACATTTTGCTTGCGGGGCAGGCGTGGTGCCACTGAGCTAAATCTCTGACCTTTTCCATTCATTTCTCTGAGGCTGTTACATATGCAAGGTGAGGGCCGGGGATGTAGCTCAGTGGTTCCACCACCTGCCTCCCAAGAGGAAGGACCCGAGTTCGATCTTCGGTACGAAAAATGAAAACATATGCAAGGTTAATTTTATACCCTGCCGTGCTGGCTGAGTGTGTGGTGTAGCAGACTGGTGGCAGCATGGTGGCTCACTCCGCGGATCCTCATCACGGTCCCTTAACCGCTGGGCACTGACTCACCACATCCTCCTGCCCTCCCCTGCAGGACATGAGACCAAGGCTCTGCTGAACAACAGCGGGCCCCGCTACAAGCGCAGCCAACTTGAGAGGCAGATGAACTCCGACGTGCTCTGGTGTGTCCTTCTCCTCATTTGTATGTCTCTGTTTTCAGCAATCGGTAAGTCTCCTGGGAGGATCAGCAATGAGTGGACACTGCCGAGCAGTCTCCAGGCGAGCGCGGTGGGCTGTCCCAACTCGGGGAACCCACCCACTACCCAAAGTCAAAGCCCACCTTTTTCACTGACGTGGACTGAGGGCTGTCAGCACAGGACAGGCTGTGTTTCGAGGCCCTGATGAACGGGCGTGGTGGGGGCCCTGGTAAGGCCCCAGGACCCGACCTTCACTTTGTCCCTGCTCTGGCTGTCATCCTGCACCAGGCAGCTCACGTGGGCTCAGGGCTCCGTGGTAAAAGACATAGTGCACAGAGCATGACAGGGCTTCTGTTTTCAGATGGATGTGGGCCTGATTTCATTCAATTATGCACAGTAGCTGGCTTCTCCGGGAAGGGACCCTAGTGGGCAGTATCCAAAGCTCAGCTTGTCTTCAGTAAGCAGCCATGAGACCGGGCATTTGTGAGGCACAAGTTGGGAATTCTCCCCAGGGCTTAACACTCAGCTGTGACAAGTCCTCCATGTGACCCGTGTGCCATTTCACACCAACGGTCAGAAACTCTTGGTGTGCGGGAAAGTCCAACTTTGGGCTCCTCCCAGGGGTCTGGGCACAGGTGTCAAGAGTCCTGTGTGCTTTGGCTTTGTTACGTGGCAAGGCAGGTAAAAACCAAGTTACTGTGGCTAGTCATAATCTCAAGATTGTCTTCATTTACACTAGCAGCATTCTTATTCTCCTACCCAACGAATGACGTCTCTCTTTGAATGTTGCTACAGGACACGGACTGTGGGTACGGCGATACCAAGAAAAGAAAGCATTGTTTGATGTCCCTGAGTCTGATGGTAGCTCCTTGTCCCCAGTCACAGCAGCGGTGTACTCCTTTCTGACAATGATAATAGTTCTGCAGGTAACAGTACTAACTGCCATGAGATCAGCGCTGACTTTTCTCAGGAGGACCTAAAACTCGCCATGCTCTACTGAGAATTCCTGCCTCTGGGAGGACCACAGATGCATCCATCCATTTGATGTGCTGGCTTTTTACTCCTCCACCTTCATTTATCTACAGGGTTTTTCCTTGGGTGATTTTCAAACTGAAAGTCTCCTTTGCTTTTCCTAAGGTTCTTAATGTCTCTAGGTTTAGTTTTGGTTATCATTTCATCCTGCTGTTTTCCATTGTACTTCTCTTTATGTGTATGCAATGCTGGGGATCAAACCAGGAGCCTCACTCATGCTAGGCTAGTGTTCCAGCACAGAGCTACATTCCTAGCCCCAGTTACTTAAATACAGTGCTGTTTCAACATAATTTTAAGATTTACAGAAAAGTTTCAAAGACTGATACAAAGAGTACATCTTTCCCCGTTTTCCCTAAGGTGAACATGTCACACTGCTGTGGTCTGTTGTGAGAACTAAGAAACCAAGTTGGGTAACTTGCTGTCAACTTATCTCCAGACAGCTGCACTCAGAGCCCAGTTGTCTTTTCTGTTCTGGACTTCAATATCAGTATCACACTGTAGCCATTAGTATTGGTTATTACTATTAGTGTTGTTGCTATATGTTTGCCTCCCTTGTAACGCCCAGTCATTAGCTGATGACCCATGGCCAGAAAGATCTGTGAAAGAGTCAGTTGGTCCCAGAGCTCCAAAGAGCAAAGAGGGCCTGGGGTGTCACCACCAACCTTTTTGAGAACACAGAGTGTCCAGAGGACCTGTGCTTGTGCTCGCCTGGGTGGGAGGCTCCACGGTCTCTCGACATCTGTGCTTCTTCAACAGGAAGCAGCCTTATTTAGCTTTCCAAATTAGTCTTTTTCATACATGCAAATTTTGTTCTAGCCTTGAGTTAGGATAATGGTTGGTGTTCATTAACATAATTAAGATACCAGGAGAACCCAGTTCGTCTGAATAGGATATTCTAGGCTCATAAACATTAATTCAATACTGTGACTCTACAATATAAACAAACACCAATTTCAAGGAAGTTGGTGTTCAGTTCTCAAGAGGTCACGGTGAATGTTTTGCTCGAAGCCTTCTTCCCTTTGCCTTGTACCATACGAGATCAGAGGAACACACCGGACTGCCTCCTCCACTCATGGCTGTCCAAGCCATGGGGCTGCGTCCACAGGGGAAGGGCAGCCATGGCCCTGGGCCCAGGGGACGCTGGGGTCGAGGGCTCCTGGGATTGGAGGTGGTGTTGCTTGCAAGAGCTCTGACTGTGCCATCTTTTTCTCTTTTCTCTCTCTCCCTTCCTAGCCTCTCTTGAGCGAGCAAAAGTTAGTAATATGAAAATGCTTGCCTCTGTCCACGCCATGGTCACTTCCAGACACGACAGTGGACATCCGCTCCGCAGTTGCGCCGTAGGCTGAACTAGTTTAAACTCTTTGCAATACTCTAGTCCTTTTCCAATAGTGACTCTAAACCAACCTGTCCAAACTCTTAAGGTACAGTACAGCCCCTGCGTCCTTCTGGTTGTAGTCATTTGCCATTTCAGTAGACTGGACTGACTCTGCTGCTCCTTGTCTCCACTGCCATTCATTAGCTGTGCTTTTCATCTTGTAGGTTCTGATCCCGATCTCCTTGTACGTCTCCATTGAGATCGTCAAAGTCTGCCAAGTGTACTTCATCAACCAGGACATAGACTTGTACGATGAGGAAATGGACTCCCGGCTGCAGTGTCGAGCTCTGAACATCACGGAAGACCTCGGGCAGATTCAATACATCTTCTCAGATAAAACCGGCACTTTAACTGAGAACAAGATGGTTTTCCGAAGGTGCACCGTGTCTGGGGTGGAATATTCTCACGATGCAAATGGTGAGTCTGGGGGTGGGGCTTGCGGTCTGGGCTGGGCCAGAAAACACACACACACACACACACACACACACACACACACACACACATGCCTCAGGCACTTCAGATTGCTGCTTTTCAAGGCAGCATAACGATGTGGGTGTCAGAGCACCTCAGGAGCCTGGAGCTGGCGCTGTCTGTAGACCAGGCTGGCATCACCGGACATTGGGTTCTGCACTCACATTCTGCCAAGTGCAGCAGCTGGAGGGCCTCATTGCTGAGGCACAGTTGCCCGCCCGTTCTGCCACACCGAGGGCCGCAGAGCATCCTGCTGTCCCCATCAGTCTCCATGGTCAGCGGGAGGCACGCAGAAGTCCATCCCCAGGAACACCGTGTCTGGGTCATGCAGAGATGCACCCCAACCTCTGACTGTAGGCGGCCCTGCCCACCCCCCGCCTTTCCCCACCTTCTGCGGCCTCGGTCTTCTCTGAAGGCAGCTCAGGGAGCCGCAGTGGGAAGGGAACCTGCACGGCCCTCTTGTTCTGGGGTCCTGTGGCCTCCGAATGGGCTGCTCTGTTCTGCAGACAGGGCTCCTCTGTTCTGCAGCCAGGGCTCCTCTTCCAGTAATAGCAGCAGTAGAGCTCTTCCCGGCTCCCTACCCTCTCCCTGCCACCCTGTGCCTTCCACCCAGTTTCCAGTAGGAAGCGTAGCTTTCGAAGTCTCCTGCACAGCAGAGCACTACATGCTCAATAATAATGTACTTTCAGAGTAACTGAGGAAACTTCAGCGGCCTCATCATGAAAAGTGATAAATAGGCCAGGCGATGGATGTGTTCACTGGTCTGATTTAATCACGCCACATTATATACATGCATCAAAATGTCACCTCCTGTCCTGGAAAGGTGTCGAGCCATGATTTGTCAGTCAAACATAATATTAGCAAGGATGTTTTAAAGTCGGGACCTGAGCTCCATGGGGAGGAATCACAGAAAGTCTTTGATAGTTGCCAGATGCCTGTTGTGATACCAGAGGGTTCTGTCACCTGCAGCAGACGTAGGAGAGGACTCCTGGTGCCTCAACGGGCACAGGCCCGGGCAGAGAGGTCCTGGCCAGCTTATCCTGTGACCGTCTGCTCTCAGTGAGCCAGTCCATGTAGGGTGGCCCCTCACTGTTCAGAGCACAACAGGCCCCAGAGACTGTAGGGTGCCCTTCTCTGACCTTGGGACCTGACAGCCTGAGCCAGCCACTGTGTGCCCAGGGCTAGGCACCCCTAAACCTCAGCCTCACCCTCCTGTGGACCCAAATCCACTTGGGCCAGAGGCCGCCTGCTACCAGCACCTCAGCAGTGGCCACAGGCTGGGCCCACAGCCTCAGAGTGGACACAACCACACATCCCAGCCTCATCCTTCCTGCTGCCCTGTCTTCCTCCCGGCACGCCTGTCACCCGGATGCTCAGGAGAGGCCTTGCTCCCTGCAATCTGATGTTGAGAGTGCTCAGCCTTACAGCAGTGGGCAGGTGATGTCCCTCCTTATCCCTGTTTTCTCAGCGCCGAACAATGGGCTGTCAGGATGCTAGGAGACCTTGTGCTCCCACCTGGCCCTGCAGCTGCACTTGAGATTCTGGTTAAAAGCTTGCTGTGCCTGAGTCGTCCTCAGGACTTGTCCTACCTGGGACCCAAGGAAAATTTAAAAGCCATCAATTAGCAAGACACAGGCTCCTTTTCAGGCCATTTCCTTCCACCAGCTCCAGAGGCTGCGGGAACTGTGACTGGCAGCGCCCCCTAGGGCTCAGTTGCGGGATGGAAGCCGGGATCCTAGTGAAATTCACTGGGGGGGGGGGGGGGGGGGGGGCACGCCCTGGCTGCAGGAGCTGTTCTGCAGTTTTAGAGGCAGGGGTGTGGGCCTCCTGTACCACAGCGCTGAGCAGGACAGGCGCGTGCAGACGCTGCCCTGCCCGTGGCCCAGCAGGGGGCCGCCCACCAGCAGCCTTGCTCCAGCCTGAGTCCCGTGGGCTTGCTTCCCTTTGCCACGCAGACTCATGATGCCTCTTCTGCCTGGAGTGTTCGGGCAGGCAGGCTGCCCCATGAGCCCTGCGGGATGGGTAGACCCCCGAGCCCCGCTGTGTGGCCCAGGGTCCCTGGGTCCCTGCTGTCCCTGTATCTGTGACCTCACCAGACACTGAGTTCTCTGAGGTGAGATTCAGCCTTCTCTGGGAAGTGGAGCTGAGCCCATCCACCTCCTCAGGTTGACTGAGGACATTCTCATTAAATGCACCCTTGCTATTTTGTAGTCCACAAGGCCTCTGAAGGACCTCCCCCCAGCAGTCTTGTGGAATAAAAAATGCCCTGCGAGCCAGGCGTGCTGGTGCACACTTGTAATCCCAGCACTCTGGGTGGCTGAGGCAGGACAATCACCAGTCAGAGCTCAGCCTTAGCAACTTAGCAAGACCCTGTCACAATCTAAACAGTTTTAAAGGGAGATGGGAATGTAGCTCAGCACAAAGGCTCTGGGTTCAATCCTAGTCCACAAAACAAAAAAATGCCCCCCATCTGCCCAGCCTGCCCAGCCCAGCCCACGATGTCTAACTCTGTCCCCACCCCTGCAGCCCAGCGTCTGGCTAGGTACCAGGAAGCAGACTCCGAGGAGGAGGAGATGCTGCCCAAGAGGGCATCATGGCCTCAGCACAGCAGCATCGGGAGCTGCCAGAGCGTTCGCATCGTGCACAGGACGCAGAGCACCAAGTCCCACTGGCGCTCGGGTGGCCGGGCCGAGGCCAAGAGGGCCAGCGAGCTGTCCAGGCACACGGCCTTCAGCAGCCCCATGGTGAGCCCCAGGGGGCCGGCCACGCCACCCCATGCTACCCCCCCAACCCGCTTTGGTTTCCTTGATGGTCGCAAGTGTCTCTATTCAGCCGAACAAATATGCTCTTGCTGGAGAGCTGGACTGTTGTGTTAGAAGCTTTTGGCCAACACCCCGCCACGGTAGTGTCCTTTCCAACACAGTGACACAGCCTCTTTGCCACAGTGCTGGCTGGGCGGTTGCCAGGTGAGCCACCTGGAAAGGGTGACCGACAGGATGTGTCCTGCCAAGTGACACGAATAAATCAAGGTGACAACTGTGAAAATTCGAAGCCAATTCCCCTGCCCTCGCAGAAAGTTTTAATTAGATGAGCCCGAATCCAGTAAAGCTGCATTCTTCCCTGCCCTGCCTGCCGTGTATGGACCACTGTCTTTAAGCAGGAAAATGTCCCGTGGTGCGGGGCAGACCCTGAAAGATGTTTTCCCATCTGAAATCTTTTAGGGACAAGAGAAAATCCATTGTGCCCAGTCTGGGCAGCCTCCTGGTTCTTTCAGGTCCTTCGTGGAAGTGTTTAGATGGAGGGGATCACAGATCGTGGGTGCCAGTCGGTGGGTCCACAGGGCAGGTGGGAGAGGATGCCAGGGAGGTCGAGGGAGACGCACCGGAGTTCTCACAGCATCCTGCAGTGGTGTCAAGGGTGTCTGAAGGGTCTCGCTCTCTGACCTGGTGATTTAGTGACTCAGTCAGCCACTGCTCTGCCAAGGTCACCAGTGTATTATTTACATCACTGAAGTGGTAAGGCGGGTTTTGGTATCCGGGGATAAAGAGATGATCAGAAGAATTATGATATGTCCATCCAAATTCTTAAATCCATGCAAAAGTTCAGAAATACAGTGTGTTGGGGGGAAATGGAAACTGCCAATGTGCATATAAATTTTTTTTTATATTTACAGACCAAAGAGCTGCAAGGAAATGCAGACTATGATTTTCAAAAAGTAGATATTTTGTGGAATAGTGTGATACAGAATTGTTGAATTTTTCGAGATTGATACCTATCATTTTATAATAGTGTATCTTAGACATCTTACAAGAAATGTTCCTTATGTATCAGAATAGATGCATTTCTTTCCACATGTGATAATATTTTCTGCAATGCACACTTGTTTTTGTTTTTTTGGGTACCGGGCATGGAACTCGGGACCTTGGACTTGCAAGGCAGGTGGTGGAACCAATGAGCTGAGTCCCGGCTCTTGCAGTGCACACTAGTAGTGATACGTGCTCGTGTGAGGTGGCGCTCTGTTTGTGCCGTGATGAGATCAAGGCTCCTGAGGCAGTTCGGCCCGGGGCGCTGGCAAGTCGCTGGGCGCCTCACGTCAGTGTGGCTTCTTCCCAGGAGAAGGACATCACGCCCGACCCGAAGTTGCTGGAGAAGGTCAGTGAGTGTGCCAAGTGCCTGGCCGTCGCGAGGCACCAGGAGCAGCCCCTGGCCCGCCTCTCAGCGGAGCTGGCCGATGTTTTCGACTTCTTCCTGGCGCTCACCATCTGCAACACAGTGGTCGTCACGTCCGCTGACCAGCCGAGGCAGAAAGTGAGCCCCGGAGCCCGAGCCCCTTTGTCCTTCTGAGAGAGTGCAGGCACCGCCTCCCACAGCAGGCCTCGGGGCAGGACAGGCTTCGGGACAGCAGGGCCGGGGAGCGGCCCGCAGGGAGTGCGGGAGGCCCTGTTGCCTTCGTAGCTCCTCCCCTGCTTGGCGCTGGGCGGACAGGAGTCCCCCGAGCCTCCAGGTCCCAGACACGGGGGGATGAGATGGTCAGGGGCTGAGTGCTGCCCTCTCCGACCTCCTCCAAATCCACTGCTGCTCCACCGCGGACCCTGTGCGGCCGGCGGGCGAGCTGGGCCCCCGGGCCAACGCCTGGCCGTCGGGATCCTACACCGCCGGCCCTGGGGATAAATAAGCCAGTCTGCCAGGCGGGGGTACAGAGGCACCCAGTTTTCTGCAAGGCCGCGGTGAGCGCGCTTCCCGGAGTCCTTCCTGCAGTGAGCGCCCCGTGAGCCCTCCCCTCCCTCTGCTGCTTCTCCAGCAGGTGAGGGTGAGGTTCGAGCTGAAGTCCCCGGTGAAGACTCTAGAGGACTTCCTCAGGCGGCTCACGCCCAGTCGCCTGGCCTCCACCTGCAGCAGCACCGGCAGCCTGGCCACCGCCAAGACCAGCCCCAAGTCGGGGTCCGGCTTCCTGTCCAGCCTCTCCAGCGACAGCATGTTCCTCAAGCTGGAGGAGAGGCGGGGCCAGTCGGCCCCGTCCATCGCCAGCAACGGCTACAGCAGCCCGGCCGAGAGCTGGGCCCTGGAGCAGAAGCCCGAGGCGGGCCACGAGGGGGAGCTGCACTACGAGGCAGAGAGCCCGGATGAGGCGGCGCTGGTGTACGCAGCCAGGGCCTACCGCTGCGCGCTGGTGGACCGGCTTCCCGACCAGGTCTCCGTGGAGCTGCCCCACCTGGGCAGGCTCACCTTCCAGCTCCTGCACACGCTGGGCTTCGACTCCACCCGCAAGAGGATGTCCGTGGTGATCCGGCACCCGCTCACCGATGAGATCAACGTCTACACCAAGGGCGCCGACTCCTCGGTCATGGATCTGCTGCTGCCCTGCTCCTCAGGTGCCCCTCCCCTCTGCCCAGCTGCGCTGGCGGCAGTCTCCCCGCCCAGCCTGCAGACGCGGGATGTGCGTTTAAGCCTGCTGCAAGGTGGAGTGCGCCTCGGGTCAGAGTGGGAAGGGTTCGGCCACAGCGCCCTCGGCCTGGCCTTTGCACCCCACCCCTCCCCCCAAACCCCGGGCCAGAACTGCTTGGGGAGCTCGGCTTTCCACCCCAGCGATGAAGGTTGGGGACCTTAGACCAGAAGCTCTGGAAGCTCCTTCCAGTCTTGTGGCCCTGGGGCAGCTTTGAGGTCCAGGCTGCAGTTTTCAGCTGTTGGTGGGGCCTAGAAGGGGCTGCTGGCCTCATGCCTGACTATGCCGGGCAGCTCCATGCTGGGCTGTTTTGTTACCTTTGAACCAAGACTGGCTGAGAAACACTGGTGTGCGAGGTGGAACTTCAGGCGGCAAGAGAGCTGGAGATGCTGCTGAACTGGGAGGGAGGAGTAGAGTCACACGTGTGACATGAGTCTGGTCATTCCTTTTCAGTCCTCGGGGGACCCAGGCGTGAGTCTCAGCTCTGGGGTCAGGGGCAGGGTGCAGGCGAGGGTGCCGCGGGCAGCTGGAGGGGCTTTTGGGGCCCCGCTGCCCGGCCCTGCAGCTGTGCTCTTTGCTGTCTCCTGGAAGGAAGCAGCCCTGGGCACCATCTGCTGTAAACTGCACTGTGCATGCCCGTGGGACTCAAGGGTGGGTGCGGGGAGCTTTACCCCTCTCCAGCCCCTCAGCCATAACCTCAGTCTCACGGGCCGGGACCTGGGCCCCCAAAGCCTGGCTCCATCCCCTAAGGAGGCCATAATAGGCGCCATGCCTGTGCCCTCTGCCAGTGCTTTTTTTTTGTTTTTTCATTATTTAGAGAATACTTTATTAGTTTCTGTAATCAAACCCACGTAGATAAGACCTTACATATTTAATACAGTGCGTTACCCCTGTACAAATGGAAAAAAAATTAAGTTTAACATTTCTAGTCCAATATGGCTGTTAATTTCTGTACAATGCTAACTCAACACAGTAAACTGGGATAACTTTTTCCAAAGTTGACAGCACAGTCAAAGTTTCTAAAAATTCAAATTATATATATGTATATATATACATTTATATTTATATAAAAAGGCCAATAATAGCAGTATGTTATGCATCAATAGCAGCAACAGCTTTTCCAGGTTCTGCAGTCATCTGAACAAAATTATAGAAACATCCAGCACACTCCATTTAAAAAAAGAAAGAAAGAAAAGAAAAATACCCAGAAACCAGCAAAGTTCTGTTACTGTTGTGGGGCCTGGCACCATTTTTTTTTTTATTAGCTTCTTAATCATCATCTGGAAAGAAAACATTCTAGAGTAACATCATTAAAAACAGCTCTGATAGGGGCCGGGGATTTAGCTCAGTGGTTTTGCCACCTGCTGTGCAAGAGCAAGGACCCGAGTTCGATCCCTAGTACCAAAAAAAACAACAAAAAACAAAAAAAACCTCTGATAAAGCATGGTCACTATTATGTATCTTAAAGCAGGTAGAAGATATTTTACATTTGCAGAGGTATGATACAGTACTGTTCTACATCTATAATACTAGAGGTTATAATTTAAAAGGGATTATTTCAGACTTGATTCTACTTTTCCAACAGAGGGCCCAAAGGATGGTATGACCCAGCTCTGTAAAGAAATGTACTGTCTTAGATAGGATTTCCTTTCATTAATGGCACAAATTTAATTACTCATTCTCTTCATGAACATCAGCTAAAAACCATTTTTTAAAAACCTGGGGTAAACACAAAACAACAGAAAAAATAATTCATACGAAGATGATTGAGTGAAGGCAAGCAAGACTCAACCGAGCTAGTATTTTATCAAATCTGTCATGTTTGAAAGGTAAGAGCTCCACTGAAGAAAGGAGATACCAAGTGGTAGAGCTTCAAAGCTTCGGACCACAACCAAAACACTGCATCCTTTCAAAGAGAAGTAGTAGGCAAACATCACTGATTTGGGTGTGTTCAAGGATGCCAACATCAATATTTAATCATCTGCTAGCTCATCCAGGAAGAAGGGGAGATCAGTTACTACTGTACTTGATTTTGTTCAGCCCAATCACCATGTTACAAAAATAGCAAGCTGCCATAGAAAAAGATAAGGCTCCTCTATCCAGCACCACTGTTCTGCAGTTCCTCACCAACAGGCCTATAAACACTATAACCACACCCAAAGAACATAAGGGAGCAAAGAAACCCTATCTGATGTATTAGCTGGGACCACTACATTGTTCAGGCTGAGCTATTCCTGTGTGGTGCTATTTTCCTCCTACTTCTGGTGTTTCATCTAACCATGAAGATTTTTAGGTCTAGGACCAGGGATTTAGCTCAGTAGTTTTGTCGCCTGCTGCGCAAGCACAAGGACCCAAGTTCAATCCCCAGTACCAAAAAAAAAAAAAAAAAAAGATTTTTTTTTAGGTCTAAATTATATGCACTAAGGAGTATGTGCACATATCTGTTTATAAAATTCTGACTGAAGATGCATGGCCATCAACTAAGCAAATGTTATATAGTAGATGCAAGCTTGCAAAGCCTAATATAACTGGTGCAACAGCCATGTGCCAGTGTTATTTGTTCCTGTGTCCCTTGTGCATCCCCAAGCTCTACACAGGATAATGTCACAAACGATTTTAGCCCCATGGCTGCTGGCAGTGCATTTTTAAATGAGTAGAAAACCGCAAATAGAAAACACATGGAGACTCTTAGCAATAACTCTAGACACTGCCACTTGTATTAGGTTTTCAGTATGGTAACCGAACGCTGCTGTACACTTGTAAAGTGAAGTTTTATTTTTGGCTCATGGTTTGTAGGCTTCTATTGGCCCTGTTGCTTTGGGCTGGAAACAAGGCTGCCTCTCCTGAGGGAAGCGCATGGTGAAACAAATCACTCATGCGCAGGAGCAAAAGGGGAATGAGGAGGGCCAGGGTCCCCCTGTGCCCTTCAGGGGCTCGCACATCCTCAGTGACCCAGACCTTCTGCCAGGCCCCTCACCTACCCTTCCAGCCGTGCAGCGCTTGGAGCCGAGCCTTTAATGCATGCCCTCTGGGGAGCACTGGAGACCAGACAGCGGTGACACGTTGGTTCCAGAAGCGGGTAGGGCAGCACTTCCTACTCTCAGAACCCCAGAGTAGCCCAGAAACATAGGTCTTTAAAGTGCATAAACCCAGCGTCACGAATGCCTGCTGCTGTGCCTGCTCCTGTCATAATGCTCCAGGGTGGAAGGCCGGCTGCCTGGGGTGCAGGGTCTAGGAGAGTGGGTGTCCATCCCCCTCCAGCTTGGCGTGGGTGACCTTGGGACAGGAGCCGGGCCTCTCCCAAGCCCACAGAAGCCAGGGGTTCAGGGCTTGCGATCGCCAGATTTAGCAAAACAAAACAGACTACTCAGTTAAGTTTGAATTTCAAACAAACTTTTTTAAAACTTAAGTATGTCCGATACAATATTTGGATATATTTTATCTGGTGGTGCTATCGATGAGCGTGTTCTGAAACCGTGCTTTCTGGTAAGCATGATTTTTCATAAACAGGAGTGTGCACCTCTGTTTAATAGGCCAGACCCAAGAAGGCCGTATCACTTGTGATGAAGTTTTTATCCTCTGAGCTTCTCATTTCAACCAAGGATCTTAGAAACAGCCAAAATACACGTTTGGATGAGGCTCTTAAAAAAATGAATCGCCCGGCCCGTTCTCACCCGTCCTGGTTTCTGCTTCTCCTCCACCCCAGAGGACGCCAGAGGGAGGCACCAGAAGAGGATCCGCAGCAAGACGCAGAGCTTCCTCAACCTGTACGCGGTGGAGGGCCTGCGCACGCTCTGCATCGCCAAGAGGGTGAGTGGGGGCAGCGCCAGGGCGCGCGCGCGGCTTCCCTCCAGGCGCGACCTCACCAGGTGTCCCACACAGGTGCTCAGCAAAGAAGAGTACGCCTGCTGGCTGCAAGGCCATTTGGAAGCCGAGTCGTCCCTGGACAACCGCGAGGAGCTGCTCTTCCAGTCCGCCCTTCGCCTGGAGACGAACCTGCACTTGCTGGGTACCATCCCTCGGGCTGCCACTCGCGCAGAAGGCTCGGGAGCGGGTTGGGACGTGGCTCCACGTGTGGGTCCTTGGTGGCCGTGCGCTTGGCTGGGTGCAGTGAAGGGGCAGCCTGGCCTAAAGCTCCAGGCCCCCAGGCGGGAAGGTCCTCGGCTGAACCTTCTCTCCAGCCACCTCCACGGGTGCTTGTGCGCCAGGCGAAAGGATGGCACCCTGCCGCCTCCCGGAAGCCCGCTCTCCACCAGAGACAGACAGGAGGGGCGGGTCTGCGCCAGCCGCGAGGATTTCTCCCCCTCAGCGGCAAATCGGGAGCACGGCTTGTGCTGTAGAGCCCGCTGCACTTCGAAGCCCACGAACGTGCCACAGATTCACCTGACATGAGAGAGAACTGGCTCACCTTGGTTCAGATGCGTTCGTATTTCCTACCGCGCCCCATTTACATTTAACAGTTACGAATTAATTTCAGTAATAAATTAAGGCATTTATACTTTTCCCCCACCATATCGGGGACTGAACCTAGGGACTTTGCGCCGAGCTACATCCCAAAACCTTTTTTTTTTTTTAAATTTTGAGACCAGGTCTCACTAAGTTGTTCAGGCTGTGCTTGAGCTTGCAGTCCTCCTGCCTCAGCCTCCAGAGTTCTGGCATTACAGCATTACGGGCGCGTACCACCATGCCCAGCTGTGCATCGCCTTTCATCCTGGCAGTGTGCATCGCATCCTTCTGGGAGTTTGTCTTCCTTCACTTAACAAAGACAGATGTATTCACGGAGGCTCATTCTCTGGACGGAGGAGCGGGAAGTCTATGTATCTAACATAACCTGTGGCTGTAGTAACTAATGTTTGTAGCATGATGTGCACTAGAGGGTGAACACCGTGCATGCTTCGGTTGACATTCCACCATGCTGCCGCTGGTGGCAGGCCCAGAACCCAGAGGCCCAGCAGCTTAGCAAGCAGCGTGCCAGAGTGTGAGCTAAATCACATCCCCTAGTGCTGTGCCTGGCTTTAGGGCCCAGGCGGTGACTTCCTGGCCAGCTCCGTGCTCACCCAGAATGCACCCCTAGCTGGGCAGTGGACATAGTACACACCTGACAGCAGGGCGGCTGGAGCCCAGGAATTTCTGGCCAGCCGAGGACTATAGCAGACCAGCTCCAAAGATCAAGCACCCTTTGGTACTGGCCTGAGATGGATGGAAGGGTCCTGCTGGGTATGCTGGATGACGCTCTTGCGGGAGGACGGCTTTCCTTATTTCTCAGGGGAAAATCTCTCTCGGGCTCTTCTCCCAGCGGGCACTGTTCCCCTCCCTGGAACAGCGTGGACAAGATCTCTCCTTTGCCACATGTCGATGACCCTCGTGTGCCTTTCTGTAAAGTTCTGAGTTAACTCGTGTTAGGGAGAATCGAGACACGGTGCCCCTATGACACACTGTGGCTCACCCTGTCCCTCCCACACACTCCTGAGCCACTCCGGAGAGCGAGCAGAAGTGTCCACCACTGTCCTACAATGGTGATTCCTCAGCAAGTACTTCCGAAGGGACGTCCTGTCAGCGGGGGCAGACGGGACTGCTGCCCAAGCTCCACACGGGTCCCAGTCAGCAGGGGCCGTGCCACCACCACGTCTCTGGTGTCCTAGGGGTGTGGCACTGGCACCCCATCCAGAGCTGGGGGACCTGTGAGAAGGGACTCACGATGTTGGGCCTACATTTGAACAGGTGCCACCGGGATTGAAGACCGCCTGCAGGCTGGAGTCCCTGAAACCATCTCTAAATTGCGACAGGCGGGCCTGCAGATCTGGGTTCTCACTGGTGACAAACAAGAAACAGCCGTTAACATCGCCCATGCCTGCAAACTGCTGGACCACGACGAGGAAATCATCACCCTGAACGCTGAGTCCCAGGTAGTGGATTTCAGGCTCTGCAGCCACCACGTGTGTTCGTGGCTGCTCACGTGTGTCTGCAGAGATCCCCCGGGGTAGATGTCTATGGCTATGTCTGTTCCTGACTTAGGCTCTGTTTCCTTGCATAGCTCCCTTGAGATGTTTCCTTGCGTGGCCTCAGGCTGCTGGATGGGGAGGGGAGCCGGGCAGCCGGCGTCTCAGCTCACCCTTGGCCCTGCCCACCTCTCGTTGGTGCCACAGCAGCTGCAGGCCTGAGGACACTCCCGTGGAGGCCACGGGCCTACACAGTTCTTGGATGTCTTTACTGCCTGTGGGACCTGTAGTAACCCACCTTGACTTGCTGGGATTTGGGTTATGTGTATTCTTGCTTTGGATCAGCTTAGACAGCAGTCTGTCAGTTCAATTGCATTGACCTTTTCACGGAGCAAGGTTTGGCTTTCATTGAGTTTTCTTTTCTCCTTCATTGTTTTTCTATTTTATTTGTATCTATCTGCCCTTACCTTCCTTGTTTTCTTGTATTTCTTGTTCTGCTTTATTTTCCTCCTCTAGTTTCTAAAAATGGAATCTTAGGTTGCTGACTCAAGAGCATTTTTCTTTTTTTTTTTTTTTTTATTGGTACTGGGGGTGGAACTCAGGAACTTGCGCTTGCGAGGTAGGCAGTGGAACCACTGAGCTAACCCCTGGCCTTGTCTTTTCTAATATAAACAATATATGCTATTCTGTCTTCATCATACAATGTTGAAGTGTTGTGTTTTCATTTATATACAAGGGGTGACCAAAATATACAATGAACTTTTAAATTTTAAAAATTTAAAGTAAAAGACACATTGCCGTGTATCCCCCTCAAAAGTTCCGTACCCCACCACTTTCTGAAGCAGTTGTGTGAGTCCTCTTTTATGAGTGTCTTAACCAGGTGTGAGCAAAAGTACAGTGAATACTGCTGCCAGACGCCACCCAAAGGAAAGGCAGCCCATAAAAAATGACAGTGCGTCCTCACCCACTGTATTCACTGGACCTGCCGCCATGTGGCTTCCGACTCTTCCCCGAAGTCAGAATGACACGAAAGGGAAACATTTTGAATCATTTCAGGCCTGAGGCAGCCTTGTCACTCATCAAAGAGGAAAGTGGCAAGAATGATGGGAGAGCGGTGCCTGAACAGAGCGGGAGGATTCTGAGGCAGATTTGTGGTGATGCATCTTTTACCGTAATAAATGTTGTTCAGAAATTTAAATAGTCACCATATTTTCCAGTCACACCGCTACATATGTTCATGGTTTAAAAAAAATTTTTTTTCCTTAAGGCTTCCTGTTTGAAGTTTCAAAGTGTTTTGTCCCATTTCAAAGTGTGCAGAGGTTTTCCTGTTGTCTTTCTGTTACTGATTTCTGCTTTAATTCAGTTTAGTTGGAGGAAATGCATTTTATGATTTCTGTCCTCTGAAATGTGTGACTGCAGGTTTGTGTGTTACAGACACAAGGTGAGTGCCTTGGTGAGTGTTGGTCTAAACCAGACATCGTTGTCTTCTACAAATGGTGTGGCATCCATTTGGTAAATGGGGTGGTCAGTTTTTGGTACAGAGGCTTTAAATATCCTCTTGAGGCCTGATTTCCCTTTTGTCTGAAGCATTTCCTTAGCATTTCCTTTAGAACAAGTTTACTGGCAAGAAACTGTTACTTTCTTTCATCAGAGAATGTCTTGATGTCACTTTCATTCCGTAAGTCCATTTTGATTGTAAGATTGAGGTGGCCACTCTTTTGAGACCCGGAAAATATTCCACTTCCTTTTGGATGCCATCCTGTCTAGTGAGGATACACAGTCATAGGAATCATGGTTACCCTACAACTAATGCATTCTGTTTCTGTTTGTTTGTTTCAGTGCTGAGGATTGAACCCAGGGCCTTCACATTGAGCTACTTTGCCAGCCATTTGTACTTTTTATTTGAGACAAGGTCTCAGCAGAGGCCCAGGTTTTGTGACCTTCCGGCCATAATTGCAGGCCCTTGACACCACGCCTGGCTGTGAATTGTTCATCTCTGGTTGCTGTTGGAATTCTGTCCTTGTCTTTCACTTTAAATAGTTCAGTTATGATGTGTCTGGGCATGGCTTTCTTTAGATCTATGAGCCAGGATCTGCTAAGTTTCTTAAAGCTGTGGGGTTTTATCTTTTACCAAATTGGGGGAGTTTTCAGCCCTTGATTTCTCAAACATTTTTGAAGCACTCTGCATGTACTCCTCCTTTGTTGGTAGATTATTGACATGAATATTAGATCTTTCAGTGTGGCCTCATGGCCCTGGAGGCTCTCTTTGTGTTTTGCTGTTTTTGTTTTGATTTCCTCTGTCCAAGTTGAATAATTTCTATTGACCTATCTATGCGTTCAACAATTTTCCCTTATCTCCTCTTTTGCTTCTAAGCCTGTTCAGTAAATTCTTGAAAAGTAAACTTTATATATAGATTGACTGAAAAATTGAGTAACACAAGCTTTCCCATATCCATACTCAATTTCTCCCCTGATTAACATCCTCCATGAGCATAGTACATTTGTTATACTCTTGAGCTGATAGCAATACATTATTACGCACTACTTCTACACTAAGCTCTTTCGGGTTTCCTGGACACTGAGGGCTGAAGCAAGTGCTACCAGGTAAAGATGGGAAACTCGAGGTAAGCGCCCTCCCCACGTCAGTCTTCCAGCCCGGATGCGGCCATTTCTCCCGATCTCACAGAGAGGGAAAAACAGACGGGGGGTGTCTCCTCCATCTGACCTGGAACTCACTGGCCAGCCCGGGCTGCTGGGAGCAGGGAACCCGTGACGTTCCCGCAGTGACCCCCACGCGCCCGCCCTGGGCTCCCCAGTTCCCCTGCACCCCTGACCACCTTGGAGTGAAGCACACTTCCCATCCCCAGCGCGGTCACCTCGCTCCCACCTTGACTCGCTGTGGATGAGCGTGTGGCCCAGCTGCCTGCGTCCACCTCAAGGGCAGCCACTGCCCTGTCAGCCTTCTCTCCTCCAGTCCCCCTGAGTGTTCTGGATTCAGAGGTCCTCAGTCAGCCTCACTGACTGCCTCTGACTGTCCGTGGCGTGCTGCAGGGAAGCGGTCATCAAGCCCGTGGGCTGCCTGTCCTCTGAGGACCGACCAGGCCATCAATCCTCTTGCAGGGCGTGTTTGTCCCCAGACAGTCGTCCCTCCTGGGCCTCTGGCTCCTGCCCCTGATCCTAGTGCAGGGTCCCCTGTAGCTCCTCCTCTCTCTGGAATGCACATCCAGTTTTGGAAGGACATGGCCAAGTAAAAGCCTTGGTAATTATGCTTTTTTCCCCCTTTTTCTGGTAGAAGTGAAGATTTTAGGGAGACCACTCATAATCACATCTCTCTAGGAGCAAATCCCACAAAGACTAACAGTGCTTTGTGCTCCACACTGGTACCTAAATAGGAAAGACAGAAGGCTGGGTCAGGGCCTCAGGGAGGCAGACAGACAGGTAGCAAGGCTCCTTCAGTCTAAGCAGTGACAGCACAGCCAGCCTCCCCAGGTGACCACATCCCACTGCAGCCTGGGCCTGCATCACGGTGACCAAGGGGAATCTTAGAGAAACCCCGGTCTTCTCTCTGCGTAGAGAGCCATCCTCTCCAGCTGAACTTCAGTGCAGAGGCTGGACTGCTGCCTGGTGCCTGAGAAGAACCTCAGCCCCGAGGTGTTGAGGCAGGTGCCTGGGGTCTGAGCTGCAGCCCGGCGAACCATCTTCGTGTCCCTTTCAGGAAGCCTGCGCAGCCCTGCTGGAACAGTGCCTACAGTACGCACAGTCCAGGGGCCCCTGCAGCACCCCCGAGAAGACCCAGGGCGACATCAGCATGGGGCCCTTCGCTCTCTGCTCAGCCTCCAAACCTGCCGCCTCTGGCCCCAGTCTGAGCCTCGTGATTGATGGGAGAAGCCTGGCCTATGCGCTCGAGAAGAACCTGGAGGACAAGTTCCTCTTCCTCGCCAAGCAGTGCCGCTCCGTGCTCTGCTGTCGCTCGACCCCTCTGCAGAAGAGCATGGTAGTGAAGCTGGTCCGGAGCAAGCTCAAGGCCATGACCCTGGCCATAGGCGAGTACCCAGGCTGGCCGGGCAGGGCCTCTCCCTGCAGCATCCCCTTTAGCTGCTGCTTCCAGTGCAGCCTGGATTTCTGATACTCTTCCATACAGTGGCACAAAATGGGAAAAGCCTTGCTTACCTTTTTGCCATGTATTAAATCTCACCCAGTGTGATAATGTGGACGGCGTGTTCCAAAGAGAAAACCTCCTTTGGAAACCCATGGAAACAGTAGCCAGGCACAGGTCATGTTCTGAGGCCAATGCAGTGCTGATTAAAGACCCCAGGTGGCACTCACACTGTTTCCTGGGAGACAGGACAGTGGAGGCTTGCCCCACTCAGGAGGTCCCAGCCACAGGGAAGGACCAGTATGCTCCGCAGTAGCCCTGCCCATCTCAGAAAAAAGGCCCTTTGGAGAAGACCATGGGGTTGGAGGCTTCTTAGTGTTGTAAGAATTCCCCCTGCCGCTTGTCAGCTGAACATTGCTGATTGTTCTGAGACAGGCGTCGAATTAGATGCGTGGCTTTGCATCGTTTTCCTGGCACCTCTGTGTCTGGTGGTGCTCCTGCTTGCAGGCTCTGTTGGCCTGGAGAGCCTTCTAGGCTCCTCAGCCGTGGAGTGGCGGTCACTTGTCTTCTAAGGCAGCGTCTCCACCCACTTCTGTGTCAGGTGGGCTTTCTAGTGCAGGTTCAGGGACTTCAGGGACGCCACAGGGCCACCTCCTAGTGATGGCCTGGATGGAGGTGGACACCGGGAGACCAGCTGTGGACATGCTCTCCCCCGGTTGAAAGTCGGCCCTGAGATAGCGCATCCACGCCAGCGGGTCATCAGTCACTGATGACCACAGCATGTACTGTGGGAGGTCTGTGGCAGCCCTTCTTATGGAGGTGGGGGTCCCCACCTCGTCACTGTGGGCGCCTTGTGCAGTGGAGCAGGCCAGTACCGAGCCTGAGCACGTGGAGGAGGGAGGAGAGATCCCTGCTGAGCATGGTTGTCATGGAGACATGGCCCTCGCACCCCACTAGCGTGGCATTCAGGAGAAGTGTGCAGGTGGGTGTGGGCCTGGCCCTGCAGGATGGGCGCCTCCTGGGAGAGGCTTTCCGGGCCATCTTTGCTTTCTCACACCTGGAGTGTGAGGGTGGGAACTGAGGGGTCTGCATTTGTGTCCACGCACGCACACACACACACACACACACACACACACACACACACACACTGCGCTCCTGTGTCTGCACTAGGAACACAGGAACAGCACCTGCCTGGAAGGCCAGAGAGATGCGAAGGCAAAACATGTCTCCATGGCCTGGTCAGTGCCGGCTCTGCCGCGTAGCCATGGATGTCTGGTATTTCTTAAGAAATGGAAGTAAAACCTTGGCTTTTTATTTAAAAATAAAAAGCAAAATGACTCTCAGAAGGGAAAGGGAGGGTGATCCCTGCGAGGGCTTCAGCTCATTCCTCAGTACCCAGCAGTTTACACTGCAAAAAGCATCGCCAGGAGCCACATCTCATTAGAATGTGACATTCTGGAAAAGCTGGAGGGACTTTTATTGCCTCAGAGAGTTTCAGGGTGACAAATATTGACGGATCACCTGTGTTGGGCTTAACCCAATGGAGAACAGGAAAATGCCAGGAGAGCAGCATCACCCTGTTCGCCGTGCTCTGACTCACTCTGACTTTGCTTGTCCACCCCTCCACCCTCTGCGAGTGGGGCTGTCCTGCTGCCCAGACCCCAGAATGTCACTGTGACTGAGACTCAAGGAGCGCTGTGCCTCTGCCAGCCTTCCCTGGCCCTGTGTTCGTAACCATCTGTCCCAGCTCCCGAGGGTCAGGCGGAGTCCTCCTTTCTCAGGCTCAGAAGGCCTCGGGTGCGCAGGGTGGTGAATGCACCCACTGGTCGTCAGTGGGCAAATGGCCTCTGCGGGTCCTGGGGAGAAGCTGACCTCCTTTAGTGTAGAAAATGGCTCGAGTGGGTGTGAGTCGCATGACCATGGCTGCCTGGCTGCAGTAGGCATGTCGCTGTGATCATAAGGGGAGGGGGTGACAGCAACCACTGACTGGGCCCCCCTCCGTGTTGGGGACTCCGTCTCAGAGCGCTGCCTGGGAGGTGCTGGGCACCAGCCTCTGCGATGTCTCGCCACAGTTTATTCTGACCCCATTTCCCCCAGCGAGGCTGCTGTTCTGCCGTTCCTGTCTTCCTATGATGCTGTACCGGGGCTCAGTCCCCTGGGGACCCAAGAACACCCCATCTGATCACTTGCTAATTCTCCACACCTCTGTTCAGACAGGCCTCTCCCCGCTTTGCTGTTTCCAGGTGATGGAGCCAACGATGTCAGCATGATCCAGGTGGCGGATGTGGGCGTGGGGATCTCAGGCCAAGAAGGCATGCAGGTAAAGACCCTTCAGGCTGTCCTGGAGGCCCAGGGCCCTCAGAGTGGCCACCGCCCCGCCGTGCCGTGAAGCCGCCCTGCCTTCCCGTGGCTCTGGGTCACATAGTCAGGGCTTTACCTTCAGCACAACAAATGCTTCCATTCTGCTAAGCCAGGAGGAGAAGGTAAGGTGGAAAATCACACTCTGCTTGAAGTGATGAGCAGCAGCACTATGACTGCCTGCATCTGCACAAGTATATTTTTGGGAAATCAGTGGACGGGAGTGAGGCAAGGTGAGTCATTCCCTTTGCCCTGGCTCTCGGTGGCTCATCCCTGAGAGGCTCTCTTTACTGTTCTGAGCCCCAGCAGTGCTGCACTTCTGTTGGAACTGGAGTCACTGTGAACATGGAACATGGCCATTTGAACTTGGGTGACGTGAAGCTCCGTCTGTGCTTGTCATCTGTCACCGTCAGCACTTGATGTTCCAGAGGTTGAACACCAGAGTTCATTTAAAATGTGCTTCTTTTGGATGTCATATTGCAATAATTTCCAACACTGGATCAAGTTTGAATCATAACATTTTTTAACTTGGTGGAGACTTTAGGAACCATTTATACAACATCTTTCTAAAAATCAGACTGTGAACTGTGAGGTAGTAATGAATCATTCATTCATTCAGTATTTATTAAGCACTTATTATGTGCCAGGCCTGTGGCTTACAATTGCATTGCTTGATGGTAAAGTACAGCCAGGTGGAAGGTCCAGACTGGAAGCAGGGTATGATCAGCCCTCCCTTTCTAGGGGAATTGGTTCCAGGTTCCCCACGGGCACCACAGCTTGTGAACGTGTAAGCCTTTGCCATAAAACAATGCCTATTTGCCTATGTCCGGGGCACATCCTCCTGTCTACTTAAAGCATAACCAGATGACTCCTAGTGTGTACTCAGCAGCATATAAATGCCTTGTGAACAGTCGGTGTGCTGTATTGAGGATTAATGATGTGCTCAGCACACATGCAGTTTTCCCCAAACATTTTCCACCCCCAGTTGTTTGCAGGCACAGGCCCTACAGGTCCGGAAGAGGACCCATCAGGACTGAAGAGTCGAAAACCTTAGACTTTCTCAACCAGCTGTCAAGAATATCAAAGCCAATGTCTCAGTTCCTCTTCCTGTCAATGCAGGAAGGGCTTGAAAGGTTTTATGTGTTCTTTCATTCTTCGTTCATTTATCCTATTATTTTGGAACCCACTCTTGCCAAGCACAGAGCGGAGACACAGACTGTCAGACACAATGCCTGTATTTGGTGGAGTCAGTCTGAAAACTCACTTGAAAGGGACGATTGTTAAGGGGTGGTTGCTAGCTCAGCGGTGGAGCATTGCTCAGAATGTGCAAGGCCCTGGGTTCAATCCCCAGCCCCACAAAAAACAAAAATAGACTAAGGAGCCTCCCAGACCAAACCTCCAGATGCAGCCCCAGACCCAATGCTCGTCCCTCTGTCAACATAGCCCTTACAAACTCTCCCACTGTTCTGGTAATTCCAGGGGAACCGGGAGGGTAGACATCCTGCACCTCAGGACTTGGGTCTCCGGCTCCTCCACAAACACAGTGGACCTGGAGAGCCCATGGAGACTGAGGTCCAGGAGGCACGGAGTCTGCGGTCCTGCCTCACTCACTGTCCGGGCTGGGGCCCTGTGTGGCTGGGCCCCGAGCTCCTTCTCTTGCTTCCTGGTCCTCAGTGGCTCCGCCCCCGATGCCATGCTGCCACAGCAGGGGCTCGGCAGTATTCCTTGTTATCAGACTGAAACGCAGGCCGCGGGGTCGTAGTCACCTGGATAGCCTGAGCACAGGACAGTAAGAAGAAGTAGCAGCGTCGTGTATCATACATCCTCCAAAAGCAGCCTGCGTACGTGTGGACGGCCCACCAGCATCCGACCTAGAAGTCATGCCCGCTCCAGCCAGATGCAGGGCCCGTGCCCTGGCTCAGCTGCTCCCATCACCACTCCAGGGCTCAAGTCACAGGTCCCAAGGCGGGGACTGTGCTCCTGCCTTCCAAGAGGGGCAGCGTGGCAGTCAGCCCCCGCCCCGACACTAGGGCCCACAGTAGGGCCTCTGATAGAGAAGGTATTCACTTGAGTTTCCATGCCCGTGAGGTGAGCAGGCACTGCCCCAGTCAGCTTTCCACCCAGAAAATTGTGGAAACAGACAATGCTGAAAAAGCCAAAGTGAATTATTTCCTTCCTTTACTCAGCACATGCTTCTTGTACTCCTCATGGGCAGGCACTGGGCAGAGGTGAATGTCAAGTGGAATGCGGATTCCATTTGCACCTTCTCAGTGAAGGAAGAAAAATGCATAACAGCAGCGATTCAAGTGAGAGGAAGGCAGGACAGAGGCAGGGAAACCCTAAGGTTGGACCTAATTTGCCCTCTGTCTGTGGGCACTGCATCTACGGATTCAAACTGTGCATAGTAAATGGGCACAGAATGCATCTGTGCTGAACATAAACAAATTTTTTTCTTGTCATTTTTCCCTAAACAGTACAGTAGAAGAGCTATTTATCCTCCCAGGGCAAACAGCCCTGAGTGGACCTCCCAGGAGGCCAGAACTTCTGCCTCTGATGCCCTTGAAATGGGGACCTTTGGCTCATTGTGGGATTATGACGTGATGTAGAGGAATGTGACATCCAGGGCTGAAGAAAGGCAGGATGACTTCATGCAGCTCTGAGTTTGTGGCCTATCACAAAACAGCATGGAGGCCCGGGGATTTAGCTCAGTGGCTCCGCACTTCCCTCGAAAGTGCAAGGTCCTGAGTTCAGTCCCTGGTACCGAAAGAAAAAAAAAAACAGCATGGAAAAGCAAAAAAGCAAAACCTTTTAAAACTTATCAGTTATGTACCTATTGTCAGAAGCCTTAAATTAATTCTGTAACTTGATGTCCCTGAACGAAAGTGTTTGTGAGAGAGAATTATTTTCAATTGAAAGAGATAAGGGAGAGGATGGTAGAGCCACACATGTGTTTGAAGCCGGTTTTTCCTTCTGTGCTTTGACTTGGACCTGGGGGGAGATAGACAGAACTGCACTGGGTGAGCCACCCCAGTGACCGGAACTCCCTCCCTTTCCAGGCAGTAATGGCCAGCGACTTCGCAGTGCCGAAATTCCGGTACTTGGAGAGACTCCTGATCGTCCATGGGCACTGGTGCTACTCTCGACTCGCCAACATGGTGCTCTACTTCTTCTACAAAAATACTGTAGGTATTAGACTCCAGGCTTCGGTCCGAGGCTTGCAGGGTCACCACCCGAGTGAGGCTAGCAGGCCTCCAAAGCCCAGCGTCCACTCTGTCCTCCTTGGTGTCTGTGAAAGTCCCCTAGTCCTGGCCGTGCATCCTCTGGGTTCAGACAGCAGCCAGCTCTGTGCAGGGAAGGTCAGAGACGCAAGCAGAAACCATGCAAAAGTCCACAGGACTCTAGTGAGGAGAAGCATGGCCCGGAAACCAGCGGTGTGTGTAGGGCCACAGAGCTAGTCGGCTGGCCAGGCTGCGGTCACCAGTGGACACCTGGCTCCTGCCCCCAAGCTCCGCGCTGCTGTCCATGTGTTTTCAGGAGCCTGCTGCTGGGGTGTCCACACCAGCTTTTTTCTAGAGTCATCAGGGAAGAACAAAGGATAAACAGAAATGCATGTGGTGGCCTTGCTGTTAGGTTCCTTGGTCATCCTCAGATTCCAGTACTGAAAGGTGTCCGTCAGGGACACACCAACACTGCTCTGACCAGCAAGTCCCCAAGCCCGGCAGGAGCAGTGACCTTTACACCTCGTGGGCCTGCAGGCCAGGTGCGCCCCCTGCTGGCCAGGTCCATTTTAGCTCATTTCCCCACACCAGATTAGCTGTGGACAGTTCTGCCTGGAGAACCTAATCTGGGTGAAGAGCTTTGAATACAGGACCTGCTTGGTCCATTTCATATGAGTCTTAAGGTTTGTTCTCAGTTCCCTGGTTTCTGAGTTTTCAGAACGCACCCTTTTCCATAACCCTGCAGGATGGACCACAAGGCCATCCCAGAACCCTGCTCGCTTGGAAGAGGCTTCTAGATACCCTGCTGAGCACTCACTAGGTTGCTCATGGCTGTGCCTCTGATAGCTACCAACAAGGATACAAAGTAAACTTGGGATGAGTGACTTCCAGCCTAGTTCCCCAGTCTAGCCCTCTAGGCACTAGAACTCCCATGTCACCATTATCTCATACCTTCCTGAAAAAGAACACATTAAAAGGTGTAGTGTTTTCTAATTCCATATGAAAATCCCCATGCTAACCCAGCTGCCAGTAGTGCACCTCTTGTTCGTGTTCTTAACACTGTGCTCTGGAGGCTGATGCCTCCTTTTCTGTTCCCATCGCCCACTCTCTCACCTGGTTTTCAAAATGTCTTCTAGCAAATGGATACAATGCTCAAAACTGATCAGGGTGTGTCTACCTGGATAGGTTTGGTCCTGGAAGTGAATTCAGGCTGGGACTGTATCCAAGGAAGGGCACTGTCCTGCCCTTTCGACCTCCTCCTCTGCCTTGCTATCCTGGCATTGAATCCCCAGCACTTGAGGCCTCAGATACAGATGCAAACCTTCTGACTTCCCCAGGAGTGGAGGAATCTAGCCTCGTTTCTGTCCCTTGTAAGCAGTGGGGTCTTAAGCAAGTTACAGGTCCTCCTCAATATCTGAAGGGGGCTTTGCCCTGAAGAACCATCACAAGCTGAAAATATTGGAAGTTGAAACTGTGGCTAATACACCCAGCTCTCCTAGGGTGACAGCTTAGCACCCAAACACTGGAAGTCTGCTGTTTTCCTCATGACCTCGTGCTTGACTAGGACCTCAAATCCAATGCCCAGCCTCTGTGCGTGCGTGTGTGTGTGTGTGTATGTGTGTGTGTGTGTGTGTGTGTGTGTGTGTGTGTTTACTGGGGATTAGATCCAGGGCTCCAGGGTTTCATGCCTGCTAGGCATGCTCTCTACCACTAAACTACCTTCCCAGCCTCACTGCCCAGCATTTTCAGAGAGGGTTTGACCACATATTCCTAGCCTAAGCGAAGATCCACATTCAAAGTAAAGTTTCTGCTGAAAGCATATTTCTTCGTAAAGTCAAAAACTCCTATTCAATATTGTAAGTTGGATATCCATATGTATTTGCCTTCTTTGGATTTTTCTTTTTTAATCAGCAAAACAAACAAAACAACCCCAGGAGTTGAGCTAGCTGATTTCTGAAACTCCCAATTAAAATTTCTCAGACCAAAGGGTTGGCAAGAACAATGCAGGCCGAACCATTCAGCATCTTGGGTGTGAGCAGAGCCCAGAGTGCCTGCTGGGGGTGGGCACAGCCTCCTGCTCCCCAGATGAGCCCGTCCTCACTGGAGGCCCGGGAAGTGGAGGGTGCTGTGTTTGTTCCATGTGAGGCGCGGGACCCTTGTGAACAAGCATCCATCTGAGCTAGGAGCTCAAGGATAATCACACTGCCTCTGAACACGAGGGCTTCATTAGTTTTAAGAATAAGTTGGCCTTCCTTCCCAATAAAGAGCAGGGAAGAAAGGTTTCCATAGCAACAGCGGTTTGGGAACAAAGCTCTTTGGTACCGCAGGAAAGAGAATCTCAATTATGTAAGTGCTTTTCGTCCTCTTTCCCTTGACTCCATTTGCTCACGATGACTCATTAGGCTGAGGCTGTTGGGGAGAAAGTCAGCGTGGGAGGAAGAAAAGGAAGAAAGTCAATGAAAAGTCCGAGTCTGCGGGTTGGGGGTGTGAAGGGGGAATTGGGATGACCTACCTAGATCATGGACTGAAACAGGACTCGGAGGCGATGTGTCGTCGTAGGTTCCAGCAGAGCCCAGCGTCCCTTCCAGCCTTCACAACAAACCTTCAGGTCCAGAGGCCAAAGCGTGGGGAGGCTCAGGGACCGAATCCAGGTCCAAAGTGTTAGGTCATCGCAGAGGCAGAGCCGGAGCCCAGGCTGGCGGGCCCAGCAGGGAGCGCTCCTTCCCGCACGGCACAGCGTGTTCCCTGTAGGCTGTGCCATCCGGGGCTGCACCAGCAGGGTGAGGCCATTTGCCCCTTGGATCCTCAGCCTCCTCCTGCTAGACGGTAAAAACAGAGGCTGCCTTGGCCCTCCGACAACGGAAGCCAAGCCCTGTTGGCCGCCCAGCAGGCTGTGGGAGACCCGTGGTGCCAGGAGCTGGGGAGCCTCAAGTGCACTGGGCCCTTCAGTCCTCTCAGCGGCCCCACGGCCGGTGTCCCCGCTGTGCCTGGGTCGTAGATGCAGAGACTGAGCTGTTCCATGGAGTAAGTGTGGAGCCCTCTGTGTCAGCTCTGAATCACTGTAACAGAACTCCTGAGCTGCCCAGCCTGTAAGGAGCAGGCTTCTTTTGGGTCACAGTTTCCGAAGTCGCAGTCCATGGTGTCAGTCGTGGGGCCTTTGGTGGTGGGGCGAGGCAGGAGCACATGGCAGAGGCGCTGCTCACCTCAAGGCTGCCAGGAGGCAGAGAGAGAGAAGGGGGCCGGGGACCGAGCCCCTTTGAGGCACAGCCATGGTCACCCGATTCCTTCCACCTCCTGAAGTATCACGGGCCCAGGAAGCAAAGTTCAACACATGGGCATCAATGGGCCATTTCAAGCAGTCATATTCTGTGACTGCTAAGTTGCCTTGTGCCCCGGGTATGGCACTCAGGAAAGCCCAGTTCTCAGTGATGTTGGAGTCCCGGGAAGAGGGCTCCACTCCCTCGGGGTGTGAGGAGATGTTCAGACTCCTGTTCCCACCCAGCCAGGCAGGTGTCTGTAAGGGTGAAGGATGATGCCCGTCACACCTGCCAGTAGAGAGCCAGGGCTCCATCGCCCAGTGTTGATGGCTTCGATGTCCTGCTGCTGCACCTCTGTGTCCTCCATCCGTGGAAGTCAGTAACTGTCCACTGCTCCTCGTTGGAAAGGGGAGGGATTCAAGGGCAAGGGAGACAGGGGCGTAGCCCCGGGGAGGTTTTCTTGGGGGCACCAAAGACACAGTGGTCCTAGAGAGGAGCCAAGCCACAAGCTGGTCCTCAACTGGTTGTCTTGAAACGTGAGCAGCCGTAGCAGACCCCGTCAGACCTTCATTTTCTTTTCACTAACCATCTTCAGCTCTTCTGGCATGAAACCATCTGTCCTAGGGGCTTAAGAGACCAAGGGGGCTGGGGAAGGTGCACAGGGAGAGGCAGAGGCCAACAGCAGAGCTGTCTTTGGAGGACTCTGCTGCTTGTCACTTTCATCTGTGTAGAAAAACTGCAGGACTCTCAGGTCCTTTGGGTGGCAATTGTGAGGACAGCGAAGAATAGCCTGGGCTTGTTCCTCCTTTCTTGGTTGCAGATGTTCGTGGGCCTCCTGTTTTGGTTCCAGTTTTACTGTGGCTTCTCGGCTTCTGCCATGATTGATCAGTGGTATCTGATCTTCTTCAATCTGCTCTTCTCGTCGCTTCCCCAACTTGTGACTGGGGTGCTAGACAAGGATGTGCCGGCAGATGTGCTGCTCACCGAGCCGCAGCTCTACAAGAGTGGCCAGGAAATGGAGGTAGGCTCGAGAGTGTCTGCCCCGCACCCACTTCCCAGCCCTCCATCCCCGTGTTGGCAGAACGTGCATCTCTGGGACTCCCCTAACAGACACCCAGACTCACTGGAAATTCCAGAATCTGACCTGGGAGGAGGAAAATGAATGTTGTCTGCTCTACGTTACCTGGGCTTGCCGTGAACATTCAGTTGTGAGAGAGGAAGTTTATTTGAAAAGCTCATGGTTCTAGAGGCCCCAGACCACTCCAGCCCTGTCGGGGGTGGCAGGGACACCCGGAGCCAGGAAGCCAACAGGAAGAGGCGCTACCCGCCTTTCCTTCAAGGGCACACCCCAGGGACAAGGACCTCCCACTGGACCCCACCCTGAAGGCTCCTCCACCTCCCAGCAGTGCCACCCTGGGGGCTGAGCCTCTCAACACCTGGACCTTTGGGGACCCGACCATGCCATGCAGTAAATGCACTGAGTGAAAACCGTCTCCACCCAGGCATCTGCGGAGCCCAAAGAGGGCCCACCCCAGGGTCACAGGTGACAGCTGAGGCTCAGTAGGGATCTTCTAAAGCAAGCCCCAAAATGTCATTTCTTTCTAATGGGAATTAAGACAGACCCAAAGGGAAAACCATCAAACCACTGAAAGAACAAACAGATGCAAATATACGTTTGCACCACACCAGGTTGACACACTAACGGCCAGCTGGCTCCAGCCAGCCACTCAAGCAGAGCACCGAGTGCTTCTCTTTGGCAAGTCTGAATTCTGTGCATGCAGGAAGACTGCGGCACCCTGCTTCTCTAATAATCTCCAACTCAAAATTCGTTCCCTTGTATGTTAATGTCCTTTGGCCACTTTTGCAAACATTTGGTCCCCCCTGGAGCAGGCTGCATGGGATTAGCCAGGTGTCAGCTTGACATCTGTCATCTAGGAAAATCCCATCCTTTGTCTCCTCAGCCAGCCAAACTTACACCCAAGGCAGGCCTGTGGAAAAGACAGCAGGAGGAGACAGCCAGCACTTTCCTGAAGTGCAGCGGATGCTCCTTTGTACCCTCTGCATTTCCTGCAGGGTGAAGTCTCTGCCACCTGTTGGGACTTAGCGGGGTTAAATGCAAATGTGGCCACCCAGGTGATGAAACTTCAATTAGCCTATGTCAAGGTTATTTTTGCAGATGGATATATAGTTGTCATAGTCTGCTTGGCTTCACTGTAATGAAAGACCCAAGGCAGGCCACTTAATCAGAGGTATGTTTTGGTCCTGGCTCTGGAGATTCCAGGTAGCAAAACTGCCTCTGGTGAAGGCTTTGTTGCTGCAGAATCTGGAAGCAGAGCATAGCGTCTTGGGGCAAGAAGCAGGCAGGAAAGCTGCGTGTGGCTGCCTCCTCCAGTCTCTCCTTACAAAGCCACAGATACTGGATCCTGGGCCTCCACTCAGATAATCTTATCCCTCAGATTAAGTTTCCACAGCCCTTAGTGGTTCACAGTGGAGATTAAATTTCAACCTACGGACCTTTGGGGGCCACACGCAAACCACATCCAAATCACAGCAAGTGCTTTTTGGTTTTAACACCAGACACATCCATCACTGAATTTAAAAATTTAAGAATCACTTTCAAGAGTTCCTCCAAGGGACTCACCACAAAACCTTCGCGGGTAGGAAGTGGAAAGAATAGGAGGGCTCGTGTCAGGGGTGAACACCCAGAACTCCAGGTGCCCTTCCTGCCTCGGGGAAACTTCCCGTGTAAGATTTAGAGAGTACTTTCCTCCTGCTGGCGGCCTACAGCTACTACAGCTTGGTTTTGGGGTACAGAAGCTCCAGCTCAGCTGCGAATAGCTCCACAGGCATTTGGTTTCTCATCCACCATCTGGGGCTCGGCCTCCCAAAGCCCTCAGTAGCAAGTTTTCCTCCGGCCGTGACTTGATCGTCAGCCCTCGCACCCCTGCAAGCATCGCTCGAGGAGATGAGTGGCTCCCTGTGATCTCTCTCCTTGTGCCCCAGGAATATCGGCCCCGAGCCTTCTGGTTAAACATGGTCGATGCTGCCTTCCAGAGCTTGATCTGCTTCTTCATTCCTTACCTGGTAAGTTGGCGCCCGGCATGGCTCCCCGCCCACGCGGGGACCCACAGACAGGGGCGCTGCTGTCTTTCAGGCCCACTATGACTCGGACGTGGACATCTCTACCTGGGGCACCCCCATCACGGTCACCGCACTGCTCACCTTCCTGCTGCACCTGGGAGTTGAAACCAAGACCTGGGTATGCGCTGCCGGCAAGGCCACTTCCCAGAGGGCCTGGCGCCGCGCCCCACGCTTCCCGGCAGGCTCCTCGAGGCCTCTTCTCTGAGCAGACAGGAGCCCCAAATGCTGCCTCCCTGTAACAAAAATGAAGAGACGCTGGCTGTAGCTCCCCGCCTGGGGCGCAGCCCGCCTTCCCCGGAGCAGCTCTCAGCTCCTCCCTCCCCAGTCCCCGACCGGCACTCTGTCCCTGCCTCCTGCCTCGCCTCCACGTCCCTGTCCCAGGCTGGTTCCTGAGGCTTCACTAAGCCCCATCAGCCACCCATGGCAAAGACCCCCCCGATTTTACTAAGCTCTGAGGATATCCCATCCCCGCGCTGATGATGATGCCTTTCCTCTCCCTCACTGGTGCCACTTTTAAGTTGCAATAAAAGCCTTTTCTCTTTCTGCTTCAGACCTGGCTCAATTGGATGGCATGTGGCTTCAGTGTCCTTTTATTCTTGTCGGTGGCTTTGATCTACAATTCTGCCTGTTCAACCTGCTACCCTCCGTCTAACCCGTACTGGACCATGCAGACGTTACTGGGAGACCCCGTGTTCTACTTGATCTGCCTCATAACGCCTGTCACTGCGCTGCTGCCCAGGTGGGTGTCAGAGACTGCGCCCCAGGCCCTGGGTGAGCCCAGGCACCTGTGCATGGCTGGGCTTTGCCTGGGGTCACAGGAAGCTCGGAGGCGCCTCCTGCAGCAGCAGCATCTGACTTCTCCTCGTGTGCTCTTTCCAGATTGTTTGTCAGAGCCCTCCAGGGGAGCCTGTTCCCCACCCAGCTGCAGCTAGGACACCAGCTGGCCAAGAAATGCCGAGAGACACTCAAGACCCCCCGAGAGACCTTTGCTCAGGGACACCTCCCTGGAGAGCCGCAGACTGAGCTCTCCCCCAGGAGCACCTCGAACGAGTCCCTCGCCCCGGACTGTGCCTCCCAAGCTTCTCGGCACACTCAGCAGCTGCCGGCCTGCTCTCCGGAGGCCAGAGGGGAGCCCAGTGCAGTGGACACGAGTGTGCCACGGAGAGAGAACAGCTTGCTGGGGTCCCCGGGGTCTTCCACACCAGGGGAAGCTGTTTCCGGAGAGTGCCCTGGGCATCTCCAGAGGACGCCCCTCAGCACGGGCCAGGCCTCCCCGCTATCCCTCTTCAGCTCCCTTGGCTGGGTGTCCTCCCTGGTGCCAGTGAGTGGGCTGGGAAGCGTCCTCCGTTTCTCTAGAAGTAGTTTACACGTGGACAAGCGGGACAGTGGGTTCCTGCCCAGCCCCCCGCAGCCAGAGCAGGACCTGTGTGGCTCGCAGAGACCGGCTGCAAACTTCTAGACCACCCAAGGGATGCCAGTGGGCCGCAGCCACAGTGGACGCCTGGACATGTCCTTTTCTATATGTAAAACATAGATGTTGATATTATTTATGCTTATTATTTGCACAGAAGAGTTCTAGGGAGGTGTATTTTTAAATATTTTCAGGCTAGCACAGGAAATGAGAGGTAGGTACCAAAAGAGAAAGTTTATTTTTCAAAGTTCTAAATAGAGTATATTGATGAAGAAAAGTAAGAGCTTTAATGTATATGTATGTATAAAGGTTGAAGAAGAATGACACTTGAACAGTGTGTTTAAATTTACTTTTTCACCTCATTTTGTACAAAAAGGCGATATGACTTCTCCCTTCAACATGCATGACCTTTGCTTTCTCCAAGGAGAAATGCGTGGATGAGGGCAGTGAGCCCGGGGTGCAGCGCGGATGCTTCAAGGGGCGAAGGGGGGGCGTGGCCCCAAGGCAGACCCTCCACCAACCTGGGGTGGGGCTGTCAGCCAGCTCCTCTTCACCCAGAAGAGGGGAAGTGAGACCTCAAGACAAACTGAGGCATGAATTTCGTTGCAACACTCAATTCCCGCAGGCATTTATTTCATAGACAACCCCAGCATAGCATTTGCCTGTTAAAATCATCACGAGAAATAAATAACCTTCACTTTGCAGAGCGTGTCTGGGTGCTGCTGTGGTACAGCGTTATTAGTGTGCGACCTAGCAAGGTGGTCTGGAGACTGAGCACTTCCTTACCATCGTTCAGACACAGAAGAGACACCTGGGCGGTGCGCAGGCAGTCACTGCATGGCCCCTTCAGCACGGCTCCCTACACTGGGCACCCACAGAGCCTGCCCTCCGGAGATAGTCCGAGGAAGCTTCTTCCAGCCTTGTCTGATGAACTGTAACTTACGTCCCCCTCACAATCGAAAAGGAAAGGGATCCCTTTCCAGCCCCTCCCACTCTGTCACATGGGCATGAGTGTGGCTCCTGCTCCGCTCAGCACAGGGGACACCAAGGAGCCAGGGCGTGCTCCCTGCTCTGCTGGACGCTGGCTCCTGTGCATTCTTGTCACCAAGGCCCTCGAGGCAGAGAGGGCAAAGGACCTTCAGCCCTGGGTCCAATCCCTAGTATTGCAAAAAAGAAAAGACAATTTACAATAATAATCTTTCACAAGCAGCTGACTTTGATGTGGAAATGAGTATGATCTGTCTTTATTGTCTGTTTCTGTACTGCATGGTAATTGCGTCCTTCTTGAGGAGCAGGGACACAGATCACATCTTTCACCCCTTTACCCCCCGGCCTACCGCCTTCCCCAGATTACCTCCCTGCTTCCTTCTAGCTTTTATTTTCCCCTTAAATTATGTTTATTAGGGTGTCTCAGAGAGGCCTTCTGTGTCTGACTTATTTCACTTAGTATTATGGTCTCAAAAGCCATCCATTTTCCTACAGATGACTCGAATTTGTCCTTCTTTACGGCTGAGTCATGCTCCACTGTGTACATATACCACATTTCTTCATCCATTCGTCTGTTGATGGGTACATAGAGGGACTTTCATGATTATCTCATAAAAGCACTGGGTAAAAGATGTTACCAAATCCTGGTAGCAAACATAAATTGGTAGGAAGGCTGACTACTCTCTGCTTTTGGCAACAAAATAGCTGGACTAATTACTTGACATTTTACAGCGTGCCTAATTCAAAGTCAAACCTGTTAATTTAAATTCTTGAGGGTCAGACGTTATGTCCTCTTGGCCTTGTATCCCCAGCACTTTGTACAGAATCTAGCAGTTTGAACGTGCTTGGTAAATGTTGGATGAATCCAAAAATAAATGACAGTAGTGAAATGCTAAAGGCACTCCTGTTAAAGTAAGAGACTAAAAATTACTTGTTGCAACACATTTAATATTTTCTGAAATATCTGGGCAATGCAGTAAGGCATGAATTTTTAAAAAGAATTATTATTCGAATGGCAGAGACTAAATTGTCATTACTTATACATGATATAATTTTATACCTGGAAAATCCAAATGAATAAGTTAAAAGGCTCTCAAAACCAGGAAAATGAGGAAATAAATTGACTCCATATGAAGAAAACAAACCACAGCTTCTCCACAGAGCAGTAGCAACCAGGAAGACATACCAATGAAGGTAGGGAAAGATCTCATCCACTGATACAATACCTTTAACTAATACTGAATTGCTAAGAAATAATTTTGATGAATGTAAAGACAGCTAACCAGCATTTAGGAAGATGTTAACCAATGTCCTAACCACAAAAATATACCTCATTCCTAGGTTAGAAAATAAATACTGTAAGGGCCGGGGATTTAGCTCAGTGGTTCTGCCACCTGCCCTGCAAGCGCAAGGACCCCAGTTTGATTCCTGGTACCAAAAAAGAAAAAGAAAATAGACACTATACAAGTGCCACATTTCACAGTTTCTGTGGCCTTTCCTTTTTTTCTTCTTTATGTTTCTGAGATGAACAAAATGGCCCTATCTGGAGCCAAACAAAATGGTTTATCTGGAAGGATGTAACACAGGCAAAAACATCAAAGAAAATTCCAATAATTAAGTCATGAAGGAAACACTGCTATTTTATAGAATATAGTGTTGCCTGATACCCGAATGAAAAGAAAACTAAGATCATTTTAAGTCATTTAAGATCATTTAAGAAGATAAATGAGAGGTCAGATGGTAAAATATGTTACAAAGTACTAATACTCAAAATAATGCACAATCAAGCCAAGAAAAGACACAAACAGAAGAGATCTAATGTATTATTATACGTAAGAATTTAGTTTATGCTTTAAAAAGTATTAGGAATCAGTGAGAAAAGTATTTGCTAAATCAATGGGCAACCTCTCAGCGATTTAAAGTAAAAACCGTGGTGTGATGAGAACCTGAAGCACGTGCCATCAGGTTTCTGAGAAGGTGGTGCCTGGGGCCCTTGCCACAGCCCTGGGGTCTTGCTTCCCTTTTAGCTCGGGGAACTCACTGAGCCTCCTTCCCACAGAGCCTCTGAGCTGCACCCTGCCCAGCCTCCCCGAGTCTCACCAGCCCGCTGTGGATGAGCAACCCATGACATGTCGTCTGAACCCGCTAGGACACTGGCCTGCAGCCCTCCAGCTCCACGCTGCCCATACCCTCCCTTCAGTGCAGAAATTTTAAGAGGAAGTATGGCTCTCCTGCACTTTAATGATAGACAAAACCTCCAAAGAGGAAAGCCATTGGCACTAAGCTAGTGCTGTACTTGTATAGCATATGATCATCAAAATTGGAAAGCTGAGCCTACTGGAGAGTTGTAGTACATATAGAAAAGAGTTGTGTCTGCTCATGACTGCTGTGAATCAGTAACACAAGTATCAAGTCATCATGTGACCACCGACTGATGAACTGAGCAGCACTTGTGTTTGAGTGAGAACAGGCCTTCTGGAAAGAAACGTGGCCACATCGAACAAAATACCTCCAACGTGCTTGTTTTCTTGGACCCACTGATCCCACTTTGGAGACCAAATCTAAAGAAAATAATCTATTATGTACATTTAAGATGTTCTTTATCTTATATTTAGTGATAAAAATTTAGGAACATTTGAGTGAATGTCAGTGAAGTCATGACTAAGTAATTTCAGAGCTATCAGAGCTCTCATATACCCAAAACATGGGATCCATTGAGGGAAAGATCAAGAAAAGAGCTCCTTCGGGATAGAAAGGTTAGAAACCACTTATTGTATGTTGAACACCCCAGAAGGTAGTCAAATGCCTAGTACAAAGCCTGGCACATAGTGCACTCCGAATATTTGCTGAACCAAGAGGTAGAGAGTATGTAATGCCGTTAAGAGCGCACCAAAGAATATTCTTAGATGAACACCTCTGTGGACCTGTCTACTGCATGCTCTGGACCTAACAGATTCCTATCTCCATCAGCGTTTGCTTCTGGACCCAAATCACTGAAAAGCAGCACGGTGGAAACTGTATACAACCGTGTCAAAAAACTGGACTTTTGATTAGCCAGGGAGTAATTGTGAACCTGCCAAAAATGTTATTTCCTCTTTTAAATCCTTTTCCTAATTGAAAAGGTAAATAATTAATGAAGTCATTTTAGTTCCAGGATTATACCCTTGTGGGATAGATCATCCTATATTAGAAAAAATAAAAAGAAGAGTGGACATCGGGGCTGTGCGCTCAGTGGGAGGGCACTTGCTTAGCAGGTACAAGGTTCGTTGCTGCACTGCCAAGAGGAAAGAAAGGTTGAGTTTCCGTTATAGATGCTGTCACATGCCAGCCAGAGCCCAAACTGCCCTCAGCTACCCAGACTGCACTCCCAAGCTCACACTTCCTCCATGCTTGGCAAGTAGCGTCTTGGTGTCTGTGGGTAGGTGGAGGCCTGGTCCCTGCCTCAGTTCTGAACAACTCAGAAGGGTCGCCAGCCAAGGGCTCTCCTACCTCCATCAAGTTCACGGGGTCCTGCTGTGGGATCCTACTGTCTTCCATCCCTTCAGGGTCCTTCCTAGGGCATTTCCCAGTAAAATAGCTACACACAAATCTCAATCCTGGAGTCTGGTTCCTGGGCATTCTGACCTTGAAACAGCTCCAAAATCAAGCAGCGGTGATCCTGGGAAAAGCCAGGGCATGACTCTTGATGATTTAAATCATTCTTCAGCAGACATCAAAACATTTACATAAAATCTTATTAAGATGTATCTGTATCTTAGAGATCTTAATACACCTTTGTATTAGAATTACTCACAGTTGCCCTGAATTTATTGTCCACAAGCAGAATTCAGTTTCTCTTAATACTTTTTGGAAGCAGACAGGTGCCTTGCCCCACTGATCTCTGCAGCAGCCACACTGTGCTGCAGGCCTCTCTATGCACAAGGCCCCAGCTCTCCCAGGAGGACCTGTGGGTTACAGTTCCTTTCAGATCTCACTACGCAGCGTCTCTTATTGAATGAATCCCTTCTGGTGTTTGAATTTAAAAGCATGAAAACTCAAACAATTTGAACTTAGTTTATACCTCACTTGAGGCAAATGTTGGGACCAATGACAGGGATGAAAGTGTTTCAGGACACTAGCAGTGGTGTTGTTCTCATCTGGTCTGCATCAATAAAGCCACAGCTGGAGGCCTTTTCTGGAAAGTTTACAGCATGGTTCAGATGCCAGGTGGCGTAAATTAAGCCCTCCCTAACCACGCCCAGTCCCAACCAGGACACAGCGTGCCTCCACCTCCTCCGCCAGGAGAACCCTCCTCTGCTTTCATAAATCACCCCAGCTGCGTGCCCACATGGGTCCTGACGGAGGTTAGTCAGCACCTCAACTCGGCAAATTGCAGGGGACTCATGTCTTCTTCGCTAGTTAGGGTGGTCAGATTCTGCAGTCTGTGGTTGAACAACACACACAGCTGGGTTGCACCGAACTGAGAGCCCTTCTGGTTTCCACCCTTCCTGGCTCTCTCTGCTGGAGTGGAGGGAATTTTGGCTCTGGGAGCAGTGAAGGAGACGCCTGTGCTCAAGGCGTGGCTGGCTTTCTCGTTCTCTTCCACCCTTCAGCAAGGCTGCCTGCTAAAACACACGAGGTAAATTAGGATTTTACTACAGAAATGATTTCTGGGCTTATAGTTTATTTTTGAAGGGGTTATCTGTTACTTTTACAGATTTCCAACTCTGCATTTCAAAGT